ACAGGTTGTAAAGGCTTACTTGAGGGGACTTAGTAAGTGAATTATACGTAAGGTTATAATTAGGGTAATTTTGTTTAAGGTACTTATAACTCTACATATAATCCACTTACTAAGTCCCCTCTGGGCCTCCAAGTACAGAGGCCCCTTCAGACATCCTCCAAATGGCATGAATTGTGTCCAGAACTCCGCTGTGAACACACAGGGATGGCTCTGAAAGCAGTAGATTGCCGCGGTTTGGGGTTTAGGGTTTTAGGGGTTTAGGGTTTTAGGGGTTTAGGGTTTTGGGGCAATCATCACCCCAAGAAGCCCTTTGTTTCGAAATGCAAAGTCTCAGCGATGTTGAGCCCAGGCAGAAAAGTAGCAGGGAGCCCGGAAAAATACCTTTTTCTCGGCCGCTCTGCTGGGTGCAGCGTCGCTGCCCGGTTCCTCGCCCCTTCCTTTGAGGAGGTGCCCGAGCTTCCCCAGAGACTCCAAAACCCCTTGAATAAAGGAATATACCTTAAATCTTATTATTAGGGTTCCCATTATCATGTTAGGTATTTTCCTTATTTAGGGAATATACCTTAAACTATAATAGGAACCCCCAAATAATCATCCTAGGTCTATATTTGTTACTTCAGGGGTTTGGGAGCCTCTGGGTGGAGAGGTGTCCTTCACGAGCACCTCATTTCGGGGTCAGTGTTTGGTCTGAAACTTGGAGGCCCAGGAGACTTAGTAATTTAGGGTTTAGGGGTTTAGGGTTTTAGGGTTTAGGGTTAAGTAGGTTATAAGTGGAGTTAGAAGTACCCTAACGGGTGTTACCCTAATTATAACCCTACTTCTAACGCACTTGCTAAGTCCCCTGGGCCTCTAAGTAAACCCCTAAGCCCTAAAAACACCTAAACCCTAAACCCCTAAGCCCCTAAATTCTAGGGGCCTTAGGGGTTCAGGGCCTCGTAAGGTTCCATCGCAAAGAGAGCACTCTCCGGTCACCTAAAGATTCTCAGTCCTAAACCCTGAAACCCTAAAATCCTGGACTTAGTGTAGGGGGCCTAAATAGTTACCTAGATAGTCCTTGGGGTTCCTTAGTACAGTTTAATTCTTTTAGATACACCACAAAACCCCTATTCTAATTATTAAGGCCTCGTTTTTCTTAGCGCCGGAACCGGGGGGTTGATGGGCCCAATGGGGGCCCTAAGCCCTAAACCCTAAACCGCACGTTCGGCCCAGCGCGACCTTTTGGAAGCGTCGGTTCGGGCCCAGCTCAGCAGTCGGGCACCCGAGTCTCCCACAACTGGGGGTGCCTTCCGGGGCTTGTTCCCCTAAACCCCAAACCCTGAGACCTATTTATGGGCGTGTTGCCTTGCGTTTCTTTTTTTGTTTGGAGCTTGGGGGGGGCTCTTGTGAAGCCTTTCAGGCTTCAGATCGTGCCTTTTGCTGAGGGGCCCCCCCCTTGAAGTTTATATAGGGGCCTTAATTAATACTTAGAATAGAATTTTGGGGCCCGTCATACTTCGATTAAACAAGGAACCCCCCAAAATAGTATTGGTAATTCTGTAATTCTTTAGGCCCCTACATTATGGAGGTCTGTCTGCTTCTTTGGGTTCTTTTTTCTTATGGGGGCTCTCCGGGTCTGGGTGGGAGCCTCCTCAGCGTGTTTGCGGCGAAAAAGGCAGAGAAGGGGCAGATCTCTACGACACCAAAGGGGCGTAGAGAATGGGTCGGCACGAATGAAGCTGCTTGAGATGAAGTAATGTAGGGGCCTTGATGATTAGAATAGGGCTTTCGGGGGCTCCTCATGATAATTAGAGTAGGAAATACCCCCAAACCCTTTTGGCCCCTATATTATGTCTGAGTAACTTATGGTAGACTTGTAAAGGAACAGGGTGTGATTTCTGTGCGACTTGGTCGAAGCATGCTACTCCCCCTAGGTCAACTCTATCCCGCTCTTGGCCGCTGTGCTGTGACAGGCAACCCTTTGCAAATGAAAGGTAATTCCCACAAGTTTCAAGCCTGTCTGTCTCAACATTAGGATGAGGACCCTTACCAAGAACCCTAACTAAGACCCCAGGTTTCTTCATCCGGTTCCTACATAAGCACTAAACCCTCCAATATCCTCCAGCATTGAACTCCTAGGGCCTAGGGCCACCCTGTAAACAACCCGGGGGTGCGAACAGGAAGCCGCATCAAGGGTCTGAAACCCTAAACTACGGTAGGCGCTGCAGGCAGGGCTTTTGCTTTTCTTGGGAATCTGCGAGCCACACTCGTGCCACCTGGCTGTTGGCCTTTGCCGAAAACTTGCTGCAAACAGAGTGGTCCTGATGTTGGTAGAAGATAAACAAAAGGCAGGTAACAGAATCCAGTATCTACCGCCCAATCGAGCGCTTGCTGCATTCCCCGACTGCGGTGCACGCAAAGTCCAACCCCAGAACACAAGACGCTGTCAACAGCAATCCTTGCAATTTGTGGACTACCACCACATCTCACCCCCAAAGTCTGAAACACCCGGAATCCTAAAGGCGCGCCCTGTCAGTCTTTCTCAGGCATACATTGAACGCAAAGTCCTTCTGCAACAACCCGTAGACACATAAGCCCTAAACCCTAAACCCAGGTTGAACTCGCGGTGTGAGCCCAACTTCAAAGAGCAGCACCTTGACTAGTTGGGCAGCGGGGGGAACATCGAGAACAAAAATCCTGCATTGCCCATAAACAGGAATAGATACCATAATTCTCATAGTTTAGGGTCCTTCAGGTAATGCTAAGGATTTATATATCATCAACAGAAGGACCCTTCTTCTGGGATTACACCACCTACCTTCATCCCACCCTCAGAGACCTTTGAGAAGGACCACCCTGGTTGGCCTGCTTGCATTTCTGGCTCCCTGTTGGGGCCATACTTAAAACTGCTCATGCTTAGGGGTTTTTCAGATTTTATTAGGGCTTAATTGGGTTTTATTAGGGTTTTATTAGAACAAAAATGTAAAGTTGTATCCAACAAGGACCCAGATTCACTTACCAGCAGAGCCTCTCCAGGCTTCTGCTTTTAAACCGGCTGGGCGTCGGAACTCTGAGGGCAGTTGCCGGAGCTACTCTGACAAAGACAAGGACGCCGGCATGGCCCCAAGCAAAGGATAACTCTAGCCATGTCTGCTTATAATACGTCTATGTTCCATTCTCAGATCTTCTGTTCTGTTTGTTGCTGTATCAGAATACGTGATGGTGTCTTCGTTTTTGTTCTGATATCCTGCTACATTAGCTGAAGGTAAGGGCCCCCAAAAAGCTTTGGTACCTCATGCCAGCTCCCGGAAGAACTCCTCCAATTCGCTTCTGCACTTCTCCGATGCTGCAGGGATTCGAGTTCAGGGCCCGGGCCTGCAAATCATACTGGGCTCTGGTGTTAGGGGATGTGTATTTTTAAAGTCACCAGAATTTCTAGAAGCCATCCTATTTACCAAAGATCACCAATAAAATCCCCTAACTGCCCTAACAAGAACCCAACATATCCCATGCCACATTTGACCACCCGTCCTCGAAGGCTTGCAATTGAGAGGCGGAACCAACCCCTTTGAGTTGAGACGTAGACCCGGGGTCCATGCCGTAAGGATCCCTAGTTGAGGTACCCCTCAGGGTTTAGGGTTGAGGGGTTTAGGGTTTAGGGGTTCAGGGTTTTTGGGGTTTAGGGGTTTAGGGTTTTCTTGCACCACCATGAGGATATCTTCAAAGAGTCGACGCAAAAATGGCAAAGCCAAAAAACACATCCAGTCAAACCTCTAACGCCCCCCAACACGGGCTGCAACGCGTCGCAAGTTGATGGAACCCCCACGGTCTGATAAGAATCCCACATATGTACATCTCCAAGCTGAACCTAAGCCCAAAGCCCGGAACCTTGAACCATAAGGCCTGAACCCTCAGATATGGGTGGTTCTCTAAATTAGGGCCGCTTTGAGGTCCCCAGTATAGCACGGCACCCGAATAAAAAGCAACCCTAAAAGGGACCGGAGAACTACCCATATACATCGGCGGCTCAAAATGCAGTTAGGATCAGGCCCTCACGATGTCTCCGCTCTCTTGCCTGCACACGTGAGGGAGTTCGCTTTGGAACCGGTCTTCAAAGATCAGATCAGAGCTTCGTGGTATATGAAATACGGTTTAGGGCTTAGGGGTTTACGGGTTTAGGGTTTAGGGCATTATGGTACAAGTCTAGAAGGGTCAGCAATCAATTTTCATTGCTAATTCTTCAAGCACCAGGTTGTAGCCGTGTAGCTCCAACAGTTCCACTCTCGACATCTCCAATCGGTTTAGGGTTTAGGGGTTTCGGGTTTAGGGGCTTAGGGGTTGCAAGCTTTAGCTTGTCTGCTCTTGCGTGCAAGACATGCAATCGCAGCTTTGAGAGTATCGAGCGACGTGTAGCCGGGGAAAACATTCGAGCCATTGCTGTTCTGTTCGCCGAACTGTCGTGTGCGAATCCCCCGTCCAGTGATATCTCAGCCAGGGCCTTTCGATCGTGCAAGCACCGCTTGCATGGTAGCGGAGCTGCCTGACAAGCAGCTCAGAAGATCCGGGGAAGACCTGCTCCCGTTCGTCTGGAGGCAGGATGACAAGTGGTGCTGAACAGCCCAACGGGCTGTCGAAAGGCAGAGAAGGAGTGCCATCATGGGATGGCACGCCCAGCAGTTTTCAGGCATTCGCAGAATCCGCTGAGCTGTTTGAACAGTCTACGCCCTTCCACAAGCGATACCTTTGTGGACCGCGATTACAAGCCGAACTGACAGGAGCAGCTCGGAGGCATGTTGTGGGACAACGTGCAGACTGGTTGTCGCACAACCAGGGGGTGCACACATTGTTGCAACACCTACGTCAGTGCCTAGGACGCCCACAACTGCCCGAACTCACCGACCTGTTGACACAGTATTTTAAAGGATCGCGGCGGCTACAAGGGGAAAGTATGGGAAATTACATTTCCAGGAAGTGCGAGCTGTACATTCGGGCACAGCAGGCAATGCGGCGGGTGCAACCGCACCATGGCCGTACGGATTCACGTGCCGGAGGAAGTGTGACCGGGTGGCCCAGTGCTTGGACGAGCAGCAACTGGAACAGCCGCCGCACGAGTGTGGATTCCCAGGCCACCGAGGAGGACACGAACACCGATCCTCCAGTGCAAGCAGCGGCGCCGACCGCCGCTACCACAACCAACGCGGAGGACGACTCAGAGGGGCCCCAGTGGAACTGGAGCCGCACCGGCCAGTGGCAAGCCTGGGACTGGAGCTGGAACTCTACATGGCATGGCAGCACATGGAGCTACAATTCTGGGGGAAGTTATGAGGCGAGGGACTCGTCGCCACTTCCGGAGCTGGTGCCTGAATTTGTTCAGGCCTGGTACCTACTACAGGACGCAGGATTGGAGCAGAACGAGAAGAATTCAGTGTTGACGGCCATTAAGGGCTCCATGAGCCTCCAGCAGGTGGCGCAGGAGCTCAGGACCCAGTTTCCTGAGATCGAGCTTCGGCGCCGCGACCAGCAGCGACGCCACCACAGCTATTGGGGTCAGGCCGAGGAGGACGAGGATTCCGGGAACGACGCGAACCAGGAGCCCGACATGGTGTTTAGTGCAGAGCAGGAGCTGAATGAGGAAGGCTACGCCTTGTGGTCCTCGGCGGCTACTGAGGCGGAGACGGCTTTGGCAGCTCTACAAGGAGCCCGCAGGACGCTCAAGGATGCTCGAGCACGACAGCATCAAGTCAAGATGAACCGGAAGTACTTTCGTGGAAACGCGGAAGCCTCGCGAAGCTCAGGAAGCAACTCCACGAGGGATGACTCCAAGATCACGTGTCTCAGATGTGGCAAACTCGGCCATCGCATAGCAAACTGTCCACAGGGGGCAGACTACAAGAAACCACCAGATGCGATGGCCCCCTTTGTTTGCTACGCCTCAGCAGGCATGGTGACTGGGAGCCCGACCGAAGAGACGCAGCAGGCTCTCGCGGCGGAGATGACCACCACCCAGGAGGCCATCATGCAGGGCAAGTGCGTCCTTGACAGCGGCGCCACTCGAAGCTTGGGCTCAGCGCAGGCCATCGAACAGGTCATGCGCCTCAGTGCCGATGCTGTGGCTAACATTGATGTCACTGACTGTCCGAAGTTTGGGTTTGGGAACAGTTCAGAAGAGACTTGTGTATCCACAGTGCACTTCAAGGTCAAGGCCCAAGGACAAGATGGCACTCTGAAAGTGCATGCGCTATCCGGTGGAGAAGGACCCATTCTCTTCTCTATTGATGCCTTGCGCAAACTCAAGGCCATCATCGACTATGAGGCGGACCTTGTGGTTTTCCGAGCCCTCGACCCAGGTCGCATCATCCAGCTGGAGCAGACCACCTCGGGCCACCAGGTGTTCCCGCTCACACAAGATTTCTACACGAATTCCACGAAGTCGAGCCAGGAGGTGCCCAGCTTGAAGGCCTATGTACAGAATGCCCCAGTTCCTACTGAGAGCGTGGAGTAGGGACAACGCCTTTCCCTTTTGCATCCGGAGGAAAAGGGCAAGGAGACGGAGAGTCAGCTATCCGGAACCGGGGTTTACACAGCTGAATCGAGCTGTGAGGGGAGTGATGTTAGCGTTTCGCATGGACCCCACAACACATGTGTACAGGAGGAGTGTACTGAGAGGGTTTGTGAGTGTAGGAAAGATGTTTCTTGTGACAACCGGCAGTGTGAGGATTCAGGTGAATCTGAGCAGCTAAGCACAAGTCACGTGGATGCGGCTTTGATCTCGAGCACTCCAGCTGTTGAACGTGAGCCTGTGTTGTCCACCGACTCGACCTCGACACGCGATGACCGACTTGACCCGCGAGGAGTTGCGCCTGGCCTTGCGTCAGGTTGGAGAAGATCCACCAGCTCGGTGGACGAAGCCAGAACTTCGCCTTCGGCTCGAACAGGTCACTGGCGAGGACATGTCCAAGAAGGTCAAGAAGGAGACTGTGGAGCGGTCCCCTTACGAGGATCTCGTGAAGCGGATGAACGCGGCATCCCGCCGCAAGCAGGAACTCATCGACTTCTGCCACAAGGAGCTCCGTATGAGCAACCTGGAACGAATGACCATTGCGATGATCCAGCATGCCGCCATGTACAAGATCTACGAGATGGCACCAGCGCATCCTTCAGACATTGTCGGGTTCGGAACTCATGGCCGCCTGACGTACCGCGCCCTGCGCCAACAGGAGCCAGGCTATGCAAAGTGGGTCAAGGAGACAGCCCGCAAAGACGAGGGCAAGAATCACTCGGATCCACGCTTGATCCGATTGGCACGCTGGCTGGAGAACGAGGGCGACGAGGAGATGGTCCCGGAGACCAAGAAGATCGACTACAAGAACCTGGCGATCACCAAGGCCAAGAGCAAAGCCCGGGGCAGCCGGGACGGGCATGCCACTACGGAGGCGACGTCGAGCAATCCAGAGGACATGGCCCTGGACTTGATGAAGAATATGTGCCAGGCCATCGAGGATCTCAAGAACGAGGTGGCGGTGCTCAAACAAGAGCCTCGTCGCAAGACGCACTCCAAGGAGGAGGACCAGTACGATCCGACGAGCACCGGGGCGACCATGCCGAATGGTTCACCATGAACACCGGCAGCAGTGATGACGAGTCTGAGGGTGGCCTTGTAAAGACCAAAGATCCGAAGGACGCGACTGCCTTAAGTGCCTCACAGAAACTAAGTCAGCAGCTGACCTTAGGTAAGGCCCGGAGCTTAGAATCCAAAGCCTGGTCCCTAGCGCCAGAAATCTTCCAAGGTTTAGTTCGAGGCAGTCGTCCCGTCCTTATGGAAGTAGCTTGTCACCCAAACAGCCGTCTCGCAGCACAGATCCAGGAGGCTGCACACAACGATCAGGCAGCAGTCAGGTGTTCAGTGTGGAATGCATGTGACCTGGAAACCAATGATGGAGTCCGACTGGTGTTGCAAAGACTGGATCTAGAACGGCCCATGCATTGCTGGATTTCTCCACCGTGTGGCCCTTTTTCCACAATGCAGCACGCAAACGCACGCACTGAAGAGCAGAGAAAGGAGCTGGAACAGAAGGGAGCCAAAGCTATGCGAGCGTACGTAGGTACATGCATCATATTTCATGCTTGTGTACAGAAAGGGATACATGTCACACTTGAGATGTCCGAGCACTGTCAAGCATGGAGGTTGCCCATTTTCGCACGACTGAGGGATAAGTATAACCTGCACGAGGCCGTCACCAAGGGATGCCGAGTGGGTCCACGAGATGGACCACAGGAGCCTCTCTTGCAGAAGGGATGGCGCCTACTGACGACTCAGGAGCGAATGGCAGAGGTGATGCATCTACCATGTCGTTGTCGCAAGGGGTACAAGCATGGCCGTAGTGAGGGTCGAGTGTTGAGAGAGAGTGAGAGATACACTAAGGAGTTTGTGAGGCGAGCCGCAGAAGCCATCATGTGTGAACACACACATCAGTCGCTTCAGGCCGAGTGTGGTTTAAGGGCGGGCAGTGGGCTGCCAGACAGCTTTGGAGAGGGTGTGGTGTGCACCTGCAGTGAAGTCAGCCTTCCTCAGAGACCGCGACAGTGCGGCAAGTGTTGCCGTGAGACCCGGGTTCCAGGTGAAGGGATTGGGGGTTCGGTTGCGGGAAGTTCAGAGGGAATAGAGGAAGGTTGGAAGGCTTGGGATCAGGTTGAGGAAGCCTTGCTGAGCTCACATGAAGCCGATATCATGGTAACCGAAGTGGAGGCTCAGAGGCTCTTAGCTAGTTCTAATTATACCCACGAAGCCTGTACCAACCTCTTGGCCCAACTGCCCAACCAACGGAACCAGCGGCAAAGACTTCTGGGCAACACGGGACAAGGCTACTTGATCCTTGGGATGTATGCGTATGGAAAGAACTACGGAGTGACTCGTGTGACGGCACGGATGCCTACTACTACGAAGTACCTTTTGTCGTATCTTCAACACTGGTCGCCTGAACCGTTTCCCGCGACCACTGTGGTCGTGAACCTGAACAACAAATGCCCTGTGCACCGGGATGTTCACAATCAGGTGGGCACGATGAACCGAATTATAGGGCTGGGAAAGTATACGCAAGGACGGCTGTGGGTCCAAGAGGACCCGGACAGAACTCCCAGAAAGCTGGTCGCCCAGGTTCTTCCCAACGGGGACCGCACGTGGGGCGACTACCACGAGATACGACACCGGACAATGGCCTTCAACCCAAAGGCCTGGCACGGACCGGAAGAGTGGAGAGGAGAGCGTTACACGTTGACCGGGTACGTGTCACGGGGTGTTCAGCATTTGGGACTTCAGGACAGGGAGCAACTTCAGAATTTAGGTTTTCGGTTTCTTGAGATTTTGGAGAGCCAGGAACAGGAACAACAAGCCTTAGCCCTCCAGAGACCTTCCTCCAGTAGCTCCAGTAAGCCCGAAAGCCAGAAGCACCGTGATGAACACATCAAGAAGCAGTTGTATCTTCTCCATGCGGCGACGGGGCATGGGAGTGTGAAAACATTAGTTGAAGCATTAAAACGGAGACAGGCTGATCCCCATGTCATTGAACTTGCCAAGAACTTTGAGTGCTCTGTGTGCAAAGAAAAGGGACGGATACAGAGTAGACATTTGTCGTCACTGGAAGCCCCCAGGGCCCGTGGCGACTTCTCGACTTGGGAGGTTTTTGACTGTGAGGTGCGCAGACCCCTGGGGCGGCACTAAGGGCGTTCCTTGCCCGAGGAGCACCCGCACCTCCCTCCCCTGTCGTTTGCCTCGGGGCGACAGTGCCCACTACCCCTTCTCCCAGGCCCCTTTCCTTGCCCGCCAAGTCCCAGTCTCCGTGCTCGTCTACCGCGCCGAGTTCTTCATCTGCCAGCGCGTCACCTTTGCCCTTGCCGCTGCCCCAGTCCAGCCATATTGCACCCCCTTTTATCTGTCTTTCTTGCGGCGTGGTATCCTGCGATTTGTGCTCGGCCCGCCGTAGACTTTTCTGTGTTTGGGGCCCCTCCTTCTTTCGCCTCGCCATGCCCCTCTTTCCTCGCATCACCTCCCGAATGTCGGACTGCCTCACCGTGCTCCTGCACCTGCTGCTCACCAGGGCCCTCATTGACAGCGGCCACTTTACCTGGGACAACCTCCCGTCGGCTCTCCATGACTTCGACTGCGATCTCGAGTATGAAGGCACTGCCCCGGTCTCAGTGGGGTGGACCTGCGCCGCCCTGCTGCAGAGCATGGGTCCAGCCAAAACCGCCCTGACGGCGGCAGCACACAAGGAGTGCTGATTGGCCTGGCACCTACTAGCCTTCTTCAAGGGGAGGTTTGCCCTGTTAGTGTGATGGCCTGGCACTCAAATAAGATCGAGCGTGTGTGTCGCAGCCCGGGAGCTGCGGAGACCCAGGCGGCTATCTCAGGAGAAGACTTGATGTACTACCTTCGTTACCAATGGGGTGAGTTGCTGTATGGAGTGGCCGATGCTAAGGACCCAGACTCCACAGTTCGTAAGGTTCCTGGCTGCGTGATCTCCGACTCCCGCAACGTGTTTGACAAGTTGCAAACCGAGGTGGTCGCCATTAAAGGCGCCGAGCGCAAGGCAAACATTGAGTTACTGAGTCTCAAGGAGGCTCAGTTGCGCACCCAAGTCGAAGTGCGCTGGGTGCATTCAGAAGCTCAATTAGCCAACTCCCTCACCAAGGCAGGCGGTGGCAAAGAGATCGAATTATTTTACCGCATGAACGGCCGGTGGCGAATTGTCGAGGACGAGCTGATGCGATCCGCTCGCCGCAGGAAGACAGAGGGACTCGAGCCCCTGCAACAAGAGAAGCCTGATGATTCCATTTTCGATTGTCAAATCATGGGAGAGATGTCTTAGTTACTCCTCGATTTCCAGGAGTGGGGGCCATGCAAGCTTTAGCTTGTCTGCTCTTGCGTGCAAGACATGCAATCGCAGCTTTGAGAGTATCGAGCGACGTGTAGCCGAGGAAAACATTCGAGCCATTGCTGTTCTGTTCGCCGAACTGTCGTGTGCGAATCCCCCGTCCAGTGATATCTCAGCCAGGGCCTTTCGATCGTGCAAGCACCGCTTGCAGGGGTTAGGGCTTAGGGCTCTAGGGGCTTTGGGGTTTAGGGCTTAGGGTTTAGGGGGTGTTCGGGTTTTAGCCTGCCTGGGTCGTGAAGCTTCAGGTTTGAACACCTGAGCCACCCACCTCCCAAACCTGCGACATACTGTTGATAATATATAGATCCTTAGCATTTCTTTCCTTAAGGACCCTAGACTATGGGAATTATGGTACATTCCTTACTATGGGTAATGCAGGGTTTATATCATCAACCGTAGAAACTCACTCCTGTACGCGCAAGCTCTGCAGTCACCTAGGCGTCAGCCACACTGTGGTACGCCGACAGCAAGCGAGCACTTCCTCAGCCTGGGATGGCTGTGGGGTTCTGGGGCTCTCTGGGGCTCGTTCGTAAGGCTTTCATGTAGAGGAGAATAATTGGAAAAGGGTCCTTTGGCGTTTTTTTTGTACTCTAGTTTGGTAACTATTCAGGCTTCTATATTAGGGGCTTCTCGCGTAGGATTTAGGGTTTCAACCCCGAGAAACCCCACAGGGCAACCCGACCCAGTATTAAAAAAAGGGGGCGGCCTTGGCAATGACACTCTGTGGTTTTTGGGATATCTCATACTCTACTTTTTTTCGGGGACTATCTACAGTTTAGAAAACAGCACACTGAGCCGGTTTCACGTTCTCAGCTTGCATTTCCGCCCTCCAAACCCTAAACCCAAGCTGAAAATAACTCACATGTTATGGAATGTCTCAGAAATTACACGAATCTTCGTCACGTGTAAGACCCCTTAAATGTTTGGGGTACCAACCGGTAAAGTAATACCTTCGGAAACCTGCATTTTCAAAAGGAATCGCTCTGCGCAGCCCTGTGCAATTCCGACAAACCCTAAACCCCAATCAAGACCGAGCGGCCCAATACATTACCCGGCTGCATTCGGAATTTGGCCTCGTCATTCCTTGGCAGTTTGTGGCTAGGGGCACGGCACAGAAACGGCACTTTCTGAGGCTTAGGTAGAGATTCGGGTGAGTGAGGTTATGGTGTATGGCCTGCCCGAGGGCCTGAAACCTAACGTTTGGAAACACTTTAAGTGCTAAGCAATGTTCAGCCTGAAACCTTTAAGACTTTGGCGACCAGGTACGATTGTCGGATTGCAGTCGGTGGGGAGGTTGCCATGTGTTCTCTTCCACAAGTATACATTATATACATGATGTCTGGCGATGTCTTGCACCCGCGTGCAAACATCATGTCTCATTGCTAGGCTAGACATGTCTCAGGGAGATTGATGGCAGGAAGCTTTGTCTTTCAAGCTTCGCAATGTATCCGGAAGTACATGTGAAGAAGTGCCTGAAGTGGATTGAAAACCGCGCTGCGGGGGGGGAGGGGGGGACCGACTCCATAAACTACCTAAAGTTACACTCAAGCACAGGAATTTTGTTTGATTCCTTGCTCTGGAGCATGCGGGAGTGCATCCATCAACAGCAAACCATGCACGACCGTTGCACGCTGCAAGATGCTGCAGAGAGAGAAAGAGAG